CGCCCCCCCCCCCCCCCGCCGCCCCCTTTCCTTTCCCTCCCCCTGTGGTTGTAAACAGGTTGGAAGCTGTAGCCTAAATGCCAGCGATTACAAGTCAGAGGTGGGATGTGCCTCTGGTGGTCAACCCTTATTTGCAGGGGGTCAAGCAGCGGTGGGACATCTGAAACCCTTTTGCAGCTGGAGCGAGCGGTGCCTGCTGCGGAGGGAGCCTCGGGAGCTGCCCTCGCTTCCTCCCGGGCTGCAGCGGCAGCGGCAGCCGCCGCCGTCGGCTCGCTGCTAATTGCTCCTAAAGCGTTCTTCTCCTCGGAGCGCCGGCCACCAGCATGGCTTGGAGACTCATGCTTTACTAATTTCCCTGTCTTCCAGGCTGAACCAATCCCCTCTAGGGAGGCTTCCCTCCCCCTTCACCCACCCCCCCCCCCCCCCCCCCCCCCCCCCCCCCCCCCCCCCCAAGAAACTTGTTTTCTAGCGGAGGATTTTATTTTATTTTGTTGGCAGTGAAGTGCTTGAGAAAGCCACCTGGAACTTGTTGCCTGCTAGATCTCCCCCTCCCCGCCCCCCCGCTGGAGGAGGGGCTGGGTGGAGAGGTTGGAAAGAAGTATATACTGCAGGCAGACCCTGGAAAAGCAGATTATATGCTGGTCAGAGTAAAAAGGGAAGAGGCATAATTAGCTCCTTTTCCTTCTTTGCCAGCTTCCATGGAGGTCTTTCTCCCTCCTTTAATGAATCACTGATTTCTCGCTTCCGTTGCTGGAATAAAAAGTTCACACTTTAGCCTGCTCTTCCTTTTAAGCCTCTCACAATTTATTGTGTCTCTTTCCCCACCCTCACCCTCCTTGTCTCAAAAGAAATCAGGGCCCTAAATGACCATTTTCTAATTGCTAACATGAGTCATTTACTGAATCACGCATCTGACTTCAAAGCAAAAGGGGCTTTATTGGGATTGCAAAGGTTTCCCCATAAAATCTGTCTGAATATTTTGCTGTCTTTTTTTTTTAAACTAATGCAGTTTCCTTTGCCAGAAAGAAACAAATTTTCCATTTTCAAGGCTATTTTAAAGAGATTTTTCAAGCTATTATTTTCCTGGAGGGGCATATGTTGTTGGCTTTTCCTTTGATTCCATCCCTGCTAATGGAATTGTCATTTCGCATACTGAAAGTTATGACAGATTCATATTTCTAGCCCATCACTGAACTGTCAACTTTCCCAGTAATTAACAGGCATCTTCCATATGATGTACTATCTTTTAACACCAGAATAAGGGATCAGGGACTAACAGGATATGGGCACCATGCGAGACATTATATTTTGGTTCAGTATTTAGTATTGTAAAATAACTGTTTTGGAATGCAAGTAGGTGGAACATTTGCTAAGAGGATGGAGTAGCGGAGAAGTGAAGCGGTACCGAAACGCAGTGAGTACCTCAATATGTAAACCCAGAACTTTTCTGAAATAGAGGCACTTTAATAACGCAGATCAATGGAGTGCAATGGAAAACCACCTATGCAATTACATTTGGCATTTGGAGTAAATCTTAATTTAAGCAACAGAAAATGCAGAAAAGAACAAATAGTTCTAAAATTAGACAGATTCATTAGATTAGGATGTTAAATATATTGTTAACTTCACAACAGAAATTAGAAATTATTATCTCCAATTGTAGTGTTTATTCTGGAGAAAATTGGCTCCTAAATTTATGTGTTCAGCTTATGGGGGTGGCAGTTAAACAGCCTCAAAAATGAAACCATTTAATGTTAGAATCAATACGTTTTGTGATGTTGTTTATGGTACTTCAGAGTGTTTATTCTGCATGTATTTGCACCGAGTGCAAAGCATTTCAGAAATTTTTTTGTGAATCTGATTTAGGCTTTCCTTTTGTGGGAACTAATAAAAAAAAGAAATAAAACCAAAATGAAAAGCAAAAGCCTACTTTTTGGTGAATGCCTGACAACTTACATGTATGTGAGCTACAAGGCTGATGTCAGTGTTTGCTTGGTGTCCAGGTCATGAAGGGTACAACATGTTATTTCTAAAATGGAAGTTCTTTTAATTCCAGCAACTTAAATCATAGATAATGACTATAATGTGTTAAAATTATACATTTGAAGATTTTTTCATTTTTTCTCTTTTTCCTGTCAAATGCTGGAATATGAATCAGCATTTTAGGATCTCTGGTGGCAGGAGAAAATAGTAGTTTGTGGGTCAAACCGATATATTTAAGCCCTGCTCATTAAAAAAAATAGGTACTGTCTTGAGTTTACTCAAGAAGAGTTCTGCTTAGACCTATTTCTAGCTTGTGATTGGTTGTATGTTGCTTTTAAGATCTGCTGGTTAAGAACAAAGCCCACATGTCCAGAATTTCATATTAAATCTGCTTCCGGCAGGTGCAATTTTCAGTGCAGTACTTAAAACTCCTACAACGCAGAGTCCTTTTCTATCCCGTGTGATGACAGGGAGGGCATTTACAAAACAGAGTCCAAATGAAAAGCTGACATAGCTTTTTAGATTATATCTCATTCTTTTTTCTACCTTCTGTATAGCCTTTCTTTTATAGCACAGTTGAATCCCTAAATACCCCATTACTTTGTATTGTCAAGTCACCTCTTAGGTTAGCCTGAGAAAGCCTGAGAAAAGTTCCACAGGAAAGATGCACTATTTAACGGAATTCAATCTGTCCCAATAGATTTGAATCACTAACATAAATGTATGAATGTAGATTATATCTCTGTAATGAGGCCTGAATCATTCTCAGTTACTTCAAAGGACTGAAATTCAACCTTCCTTTTTAGCAGCAACAATCAGACCTTAATGGGTTCCTTTATTAATTGTTCCATTGCTAAACTTGAAAAGCGGCTGCCTTCAGTACAGGTCCTAGACTAGAAATGGTACCTGCTGCTTCTAAAACAGTGTTTCTGTTTTGCCTTTTAGCACTCTAAGATTCTGTGAAGTTTCCTGTGCTGCGGTTTTATAAATGCTGAATTACATTGAACCATCCAGAATGAAATAAAGAAAACCCTTTCTAAAAAATGTGCAAAAAGTAGAAAATATATTTTCAGAATTTTCTTTTCAGGCTGTTTTCTTTCCAAAGAATGTTCAGGGAAATGAGTTGTACAGGTGAATTTTAATGAAAATGGTCTAAACAAAATATTTTTTTGATACTTGTAGCAGTAGCTTAGGTCATGTTTTTGTCGTTTGATCAGCAAGGAGGGATGTCTTGGCATTTTTTTGTTTGTGATTTGGTTGTTTTTTGGTTTTTTTCTTGTTAAGTAGATGACTTGAATCAGAGACGGAATATTTTAAGATAGTTGGAATAGATTTTGCCTTGTATGATTTCCCTTGGGCAAGGCATTATCTTTTCTGGTGTTGTAAATAAGTTCTGTGTATGCCTTTGACTGTTAATATAATCAACTCACTCTCAGATATCACCAGACCCTCAGTTTGGATTGCTAGATAGCAATCATGACCATTTGCTGCTTACAGTATGATGAGAGATGCACATGCATCTTCCAGTCATGGGACCCAATTCTGTTCTTATTCAAGGCATTGGGAAATTTGCCACTGATTTCATTGAGAGAGATTTGGGCCAGGAATGTCACTGCCAGAGAGGCAGCTCTGCCAGAAATGAGGCGAGGAATGCCAAATGCCAGTGATGGCTCAGATGCCTCTGTCTATATGTCAGTTCCAAACTGCAGAACTTGGTAGTGTTGTAAAACACTAATCTTGGTTATAAAGAAAAGGCAGTGGCATACAGTGTTCACAATCACCAGCTAGCAATGAGACAATCTGTTTGATCTGAGATACAGTGCTACTTGCTGAAATCTTTACGCCGTGGAGTAGTTCATGCCCACCAACAACAGGGATGGAAGGCCATTGCATTTTATCTGACTAAAGCATGTCTTAAAGCTTGAGAAAAAAAATCATCATTACAGTTGTTTTCTTCTGAGAAATCTGCAAAATCACTATCATTGTATTTATCTCTATTCTTCATAATTTCATGTACTTCCATGTCATTTTAAAATTTTCAAAATACTAATATTATTTTATGTATAGAATGAGGTATAAAATAAGCCCTTAAGTTGTCAAAGATCAAGACTGAAGGCGGCATAACTCATCTGTGTGTTTGAAGCTGGAATAAGACATATAAAGTCAGAATACAATTTTATCTGCCTGTAGGAGGATTTGGTAGTGTGTGGAGCATACTCCTTGGCTCCTCTGTGCACACTCCTTTCCAGCTATCCAAAACTGGAGAAGAACTCAAGCAGAGTTTAGTAGAGGTTAATAAAATGCTTGTTTCAGCATTTCTTTTTTATTTCAAAACCACTTGCTTTTCTAGGTCAGACATAACAACAGACACGTGCAAAATGAGTCTGAGATAACGAAAATGTAGTTCAGCCAGAGCTGGTTCCACCCAGCCTACAGAGTCACTAGTGAGAATGGCCAAGTGTCCTGCCCAGGCTGAGGCTAGTCCTCAG